ATCAGCACTTATTTTCGCGGATATGCACATATGGTGATGTTTTCGTGACCTGTTTTCGTAAATATGAACATGTGATGTTTTGTAAAAGATAAAACATGTTGACAAAACGGGGACTGGGGAGCGACGAGAACAGGACAGTAGGGATCAAGTGCTGAGGACGAGTGGCAGCCGACTTAAGGACTGTGTTTTGGGGGTACGTGGAAGACGAAGTGGCGGACCCGGTTGGGCCGAGACGATCGGGAGAGCTCAGTGAGATTGAGAACCCAGAGGCCTGGTCTTTTCGGCCGCTGGATAGTGTTATTATTGCCGCTGTACGACGATATTATTGATATGGCGCATTAAACTTTCTACTCCTTAAACCTAAGGTAACGATTTGATAGTTAATTTTTTTTGGAAACGACCTCAGGATTAGGAAGAGCCCGGATGAATAAGACAGGAGAAGAATTGTTGCAATCACTGAACCACCGGATTCTTCTCTCTGACCTCGGAATCGGAATTCGATTCCGCTATAAATTTCTTTCGCAAAAGAAGCAACAATTTTAAATTACCTTCTAATAACACGAAAGCCTCGTGACCCTACAAGCTGAGGATGCTGCGTTTTATTAAAATGCTTCGCAATTCTCGTACTGCACAAATGGTACTTTACAGTTCTACTGTTGTAAATAATGCATCACATTTTAAGGCATGCAGAATAGAGCACTGAATCAACTGAAAGCAAAGCAAAACAACTGAATAACCTTTCTTGCTTCGGATACATCGTGGTTACGTCTGGACTGCTCGACGGCAGGATGGGCATCGATGTGGATGGATGGTGTAAGGCGATGTGAGGCTCACTGAAATTTTGAAGTTATGGGCTTCCAAAATGCTGGGAATTCAGTCCAGAATGGAACTTACCACTCGGATAACCTCCGATTCTCTTCCGACAGATCATCCACTTCTACAACAATGCTTGTTGGCAACGTTACAGCGGCTGCCGACTCGCGTACACGTACTTGTGAAGTTGCCTCGGTCAAGGGCTCAACCGTTGACGCACATCTACAAAACACAAAATCGTATTAACTGACATAACTACATTTTACGTATGCAAAATCTGCTTCCGCATTCGCAGCGCAGAAAGTTACGGAGGAGAATGTGATTGATGTCTTCTGTTGAAAGACGTCTCCTTATTGTACCCAGTCTGGAAAGCACCAGAAGCACCGACGCAGTCATCGTTTTTGCACTATTTAGCGCTGTAGTAAGATCGCAAGCAATCACAGTAGCTAGAATTTTTGACATACTGGCTCTGGAAGCTCAAGAAATTAATTGTGCGATTATGTGACATGTCAGTTGTAAATACTAGTTTCACCGATAAGTGGATAGTTGCTAGTGCGCGAAAAAGACCCCATTAGAGGAGTTGATTTGAAATCTTTTAGTTTTACCTGAGTAGGGAACATTCTATTAAAATTCCAGCCACCCAGCTTTTCCCGTTCTCAAGCTAGCAATTTTCTCTCCAAAACTTTCACGCGCCCGTACATGAGACGCAAGCGATTCTAAAGAGCTGAATTTAAAGTATTTTGGTCGCACATGGTTAGTGACCATTCCCCTAAAATTCCAGCTTTCTAGCTTTTCGCTCCTAGGTCAAAAATTTTTCAGCCAAAATCCTTACATGTCCATACATGAATTCCGGGTGGTTCTAAGAAGCTGAATTTGAAATTTTTTAGTCACGCATTAGTATTGAACATTATTCTGTAGTTTCGGCTTTCTAGCTTTTCTTGTACCCGAGTTAATAATTTTCCCGCCAAAACATTCACATGCCTGTATGTGAGGCATAGGCGTATGTGACAGTTGATATCACGTCTAAAAGGTTGCATCTGGCCAGGAAACGCACTGGCAAAATTCCAGCATCAAAGCTTGCGTGGTTAGCGAATAAATGTCATCAAAAAATCTATCTTTCATCCCTGGTTTACGAACTCGGAACTAATATAATTCAGACGCAAGACCTTTAAGCGATGCCTGGTAATTCACAAGAACTGAATTAAGATGAAGTCAGGAATATTTATTTGACAAAATTCTAATTATCTGGAATTCGAGCTAACTACAGCATTAATATGCAAAGGATAACGAAACAACCTTACGGTTCCAACAGCTGCTGCTGGAATCAGTGCATATGGAGATCTTCCAGACGCTGAAGTGTTGCATCTCAAATAATAGCGGAAAAACTCTGAGAATGCAATAAAAAGCTGCTTCCTCATATCCTTATTACACGTAAAATATATCACCTATAAAACTTAGACATATAGTCTAATTACTGTCATTTATGCTTTCTGAATGGTAACAATAAGGTAGAAAAGAGTCGTGCTTCCCAGTTGTTGTATGAGCAAAACATTATTTTGCTGGATGTCGTGAATAAAGGCCCTCGTCGAAAAGAAGAATCGAGCTTCTACTCTTCACATCTGGACACGGCATGCTATCCATTACGCTACCAGCCTCTATGCTTCTAGTTCAGCTTGGCAGCAAATCTACTGTGTATCTGCCTTTCAAGGTAAAATACACCTCTTTCTCCTTTGACTTATATAGGCAGAAAGATAAAAAGTGCTATCTTTCTTTTTGAATTTTTCATCTTTCTTTTTATGGTGGCTTCTTGGCTGGCTTCTCGCGGCTTTTCTGCAACACCAAGAAATAGCTGCTTCAGAAGACGTGAAAATTATCTTCAAGAATCTGGTAATAGCTAATAAAAAGAATTTTCTTCTGTGATTTTTTCAGGATTTAAAAGAAGTGTAAGAAGTGAATTCTGCCAACTCCTCTTTTTATAAACATTTTAATTTCAACTAAAAATTAGGGTACAGTGATGAAAAGTCTGCCTTCCACAGCAGTCTAGCGTTATAAACTATTTACACTGACCGCTTTTCTTACGCTTCCACATACATATGGATAATTTGCTACTGAAAAGTATCAGAAAAACAGTTTTGTCGTTTGTATTACGAATCCGAGCAGTTGCCACTCAGCCTATTTCTGTGATTATTCATATACATGCAACTCCAGAGAAGATTCTCGAAAAGCCCTCTCCCGTTCGAAAATTTGTTCAGATGAAAAAGTTGGTTACCGGATTAGAGATGTGCGTTATTGAGTAGAAGACCGAATGAAACACCATCGCCCATTTGTCTGTTATAGCGAATACGTAATATGATAAGTAATATGCAGACATATAAGTGAAAAATATTACTGCAACTATTGTAATCTGAAAATATTTGTGTACGAGTAAACATGCAATATATTCAATTGCGGCAATGCTGTCTTGAACAACTACTGCCGTCGACTGCCGACATGTTCGTTTGTATCCGGCTGTTTCAGGACCTCGTTTTTAGCACTACCTGAGCAGCACTCAGAGAGTGTCGTGTGAAATACGAAAAAATTTAAAGTGCGCATTTTTCTTTTGTTTTGAACATATATTGTTGTTCATGGTCCGATTAGAAAGGTCCCTGAAATAAAAGGAACGAAAAGTACTCTCTTGATGGAGTTAGAGTTAGCTATTTCTGGAGGTTGGCTCGTGCTTGGGTTTGCAGACTGCCGGAGGAGGTGGGCTTGACGAAGACTGGTGTAGTCCATAAGAAGTCAGACAGGTTAAAGAATAAGAACGGCGTGGTAAGTCGTAACAACGGGAGTGTGACTTTGTCTCATTCTTTAATTTTATTTGTGATTCGTTGCCGTACGCTATTTTTTAATCATTGGCGACGCGCACGGGGCGGCCCGTGCGGCCATGCGTTTTTGCAGTGTTTCGTGCTGCAATAAGATCATTCGAAATTCCGCTAGCTAGAAACCTCT